AGACGATTAAGCCAGAGTGGCTAAGTACCTAAAAACAATGCTTTTTCATCCATTTTTAATTGGGTTTTAGTTTCCACTGAGACAGAACTTGAGACAAACAGTGGCTTAAAAATAGTTTGGTAAAACAGAAATCCTGTCTTGCCTCCTCCTAATGCAATTAAACTGTAGCTTAAAGGCTTCCAGTGCAATCAATACTATCTTGTGCACTTCAAAATCATCCAAGTATGGCTTGCCACAAATCTCAAACCAAAACTTTTTGACTTGTAAGCACAAAATGGGCTGTTCACTGCTTTTCTAACATAGTAAGAACGAAACCTATCAGATTAGGAATCAGGCTGTGACACTTTGATGACCCAACCAAAGATTCATAGACTGGGCCTGGCACACGGAGGACTCCACCTGCTGACTTCTCCGGTCTGAGCTCAAAGGTGAAACCTTGCTCCAGCTAAGCTGGAGCACAGTAAGCCCGTGGACCCATGAGCTGCCTCTAGACCCACCTAGCCCACTACAAGAGAGCTCAAAACTCCAGCTCCCCAGCAAAACTGAAATTCAACTCCCACTCAAATTTAGCACTATAACTTTCTTAATATATATGTGGAGAAACTTTGAATTATAAAAACAAATTCCGGTTAACGAAACAAAACATGCACTGAATCACACCAGTAAAAAGGAATGGCTTTTGAGGAAAGGGTTGGGAGTAGAATAACTGAAAAGCACAGACCAGAGTTAATACCAGCGTTACTGAAGCTGAGCTTTCCCATCTGCATGATTCCAAGCAGTGACTTAAATTGTTCCAGTTCTCATCAAGACACTGCAGGTTAAACTGCAGCAAACAGAAGTTAAGTGACTTGACAAAACCACACCACAGATCACTAGCAGACTCAGAGAAAACAAAATCAGGACAAACAAGTCCAAATCTTAATTCTATGCTCAGGATTAGACTTAGGATGACTCAGGGCAACCAACTCCCCCACTTTCGAACTTCTGAACTCTATCACGCCTGGAAGGCTGAAGAAGGCCTCAGGCATTTATAAAAACATCTTGGCTGTAAGTTACGTTCTTCAGAAACAAAAACCTCCCCACCCTAAAAGGTCTCCCAAGACTGACATTTTCTATCAATTCCCAAACTTTATCAAGCGTTCTCCAATGAAAGCTGAGATTTGTGACCATGTTTTTTAGCAGGCTTTGGGCTTGCAATCAAGAATGCAGAGCATATAGTAGGATGATTTAGCTCCTCCGTCATCACGCTAAACAGTTAATCTTTTCTATTTGCTTGAAAAAGCCACCTGAGGAAAAAGTCCTAGCGATTACAGGAGAACACCTCTGAGGAACACAGCTTCACGCCCTGGGAAAGCTTCAGTAGTTTTTAATTGGCCTGAATCAAACAGGTTTTCACAGTAAGAGTTACAACAGAACGGCTGGCATGTTGAATACGTGTAGCTTTTAACTGCATGCTGTTCTGGGGAGCCCATCAACATGACATAATTGCTGTACAGCTCAACCACTACGGGCCAGCTCCAGAGCTGTGCCTTGGCTCCTGAATTTCCTTTGATTTCCCATGCAAATCAAGGGAGTTTAGATGCCTGAAAAGTACTTTTGTGGATTTTTCCCAGGCCTCCTCTATAGTGACAAATGTTCATCTTCATCTCGAAAAAGTTTGTGGTTAAGGCAAACGAAAATTGCACTGTAAACTTTCCTGGGGAAGTCTGAGCTCTCTGCTTGCTTTCTCATATTGACAAGTTATACAAGTCCCTTCTCTTAGATTCCTCTTTCAGAGACAGTTAGCCTACTGCCCTGTATTGATTCTGTTATCCTGCTTTGCAAACAAGTCTGCAGAGTAAGATTTCAAAGAACGTTTTATGAGAACAGAAAAATATTGGGCATGCTGGTAAATGCTAAGGTGAATGCAGATTCAGATATTTAATTATACTGTCTCAATCATGTCTGCAAGTCAGATAGCAACTGAGATGTCACAACTTAATTAAATTTCAGATGAATAACTTGTGTTGTCATATGTAGTTTGACATGCTGGAATGCGGGCAGAAATTATCCTGGGAATTGACAGCCTTATTGCTAGCGAGGTAAAAAGTTGGGGCATCCTTGAAGATATTCAAAACTTGACTGGACAAGGCCCCAGACAACCTGAGCTAACTTTGAAGTTGGCCCTGCTTTGAGTTGGGGTGGGGTAGGTGGGTTTGGACCTGAGACCTCCAGAGATGAATTTCCACATAAACCATTCAGTGATTCAGGGGATATAAATAATGAGATAAAGTACAAGACCAAATCTTACCAATGTAATTTTGCATGTCATGTCAGTTGCCAACATCATTGTGTCAGCTCAGCATGTGCATTTGAACCTATCTTGCACAAAGGAAGCATCTTTCATGATGCTCCAGAAGTGTCAGAATGCTTTCAGAAATGCCTTTCATGCCTAACCAAATTCCATTTTCACCAACCAGAGGCACAGAAATTTTCTGACTCCTTTGGTCTTAAAGAATCAGATACGTAGGCCACAATCCATTTTTCAATAGCTACAGAGGTGGGCTGCTAGACCTTGTACGAACAAACAAAGAAGGTCCGGTTGGAGATGTGAAGGCTGGGGGCAGCCTTGGCTGCAGTGACCGTGAGATGGTGGAGTTCAGGCTCCTGCGAGGATGGAGCAGGGCAATAAGTAGGATCGCAGCCCTGGACTTGAGGAGAGCCAACTTTGGCCTCTTCAGGGACCTACTTGGGGGAATGCCATGGGGCAGGGCCCTAGAAGGAGGGGGGTCCAAGAAAGCGGGTTAATATTCAAGCATCACTTCCTCCAGGCTCAAGACGGGTGCATCCCTCTGAGTAAAAAGTGCAGCAAAGCGGGCAGGAGGCCTGCATGGCTGAGCAAGGAACTCCTGGCAAAACTCCAACAGAAGGAGGAAGCATACAGAATGTGGAGAAGGGGACAGGCCACTTGGGAGGAATACAGGGACATTGTCCGAGTATGCAGGGATGCAACGAGGAAGGCTCAGGCCCCTTTGGAACGAAATCTGGCAAGGGATGTCCAGGACAACAAGAAGGGCTTCTTCAAATACATCAGTAGCAAAAGGAAGACTAGGGAAAA